AGACTGGGGTTTCACCAAGAAAGAAAAGCTTACTTGGTGTGTTGCTCTTAAACTTGTCATTAACATGTCTATAACATGAATGCAATGTGATTTGTGTTTGTGAAATCCATGCAATGGCACTGTGATTTGTGTTTGTAAAATCCATGCAGTGGTACTGTGATATGTGTTTGTAAAACCATGCAGTGGTACTGTGATATGTGTTTGTAAAATCCATGCAGTGGTACTGTGATTTGTGTTTGTAAAATCTATGCAGTGGTACTGTGATTTGTGTTTGTTTAATCCTTGCAGTGGTACTGTGATATGTGTTTGTAAAATCTATGCAGTGGTACTGTGATTTGTGTTTGTAAAATCCATGCAGTGGTACTGTGATATGTGTTTGTAAAATCCATGCAGGGGTTTTGCGATTTTTGTTTGTAAATCAATGCAATGGCAATGTGATTTGTGTTTGTAAAATCCATGCAGTGGTACTGTGATTTGTGTTTGTGAAATCCATGCAATGGCACTGTGATTTGTGTTTGTAAAATCCATGCAGTGGTACTGTAATATGTGTTTGTAAAATCCATGCAGTTGTACTGTGATTTGTGTTTGTAAAATCCATGCAGTGGTACTGTAATTTGTGTTTGTGAAATCCATGCAATGGCAATGTGATTTGTGTTTGTAAAATCCATGCAGTGGTACTGTGATATGTGTTTGTAAAATCCATGCAGTGGTACTGTGATTTGTGTTTGTGAAATCCATGCAATGGCAATTGTGATTTGTGTTTGTAAAATCCATGCAATGGTACTATGATTTGTGTTTGTAAAATCCATGCAGTGGTACTGTGATATGTGTTTGTAAAATCCATGCAGGGGTACTGTGATTTGTGTATATAAAATCCATGCAATGGTACTGTGATTTGTGTTTGTAAAATCCATGCAATGTGTATTTGTGTTTATCTTTCCTTGCTCATTGTACTCGAACAGGGACACGACTAAACCACATTCTTCGTCCTTAAATGTATGAAGGTGAGATCGAGACTTTGGGATAAAGGACTTGTACCAAAAAAAACATATTTAATGTAAAGGATAGTAGATCTGTTGTCACCAAATAATGTTGTGGTTGATCCTAAAAAGGCATAACAGTTCTGTATTATTAATATATTAAGTCAACACAGACATAAGATAGGCATACACAGTAGAAGTTAAGTACCCCCGATTGTTTTCATATGACTATAGTTAATCTGTCATGTCATTTTTAGTAGTATATATGTCTTCTTATATATAGAAACTTTGAGCCAACAAAAGACAAAATCTGTTAAACGTTCATCTACACTAGAAAGGTTGATGCAGGGGACGAATCTTCAGGGCATTTAACCCTCACAGTTGACCTGATAGTGTTTGTTGGCAGTTACAGTCAATAACAATAAACAAGTTTCATATGCTAATATACTATTTCTATTTCTTAGTTTCATGATACGATCAAACTGAGTAAAGAAGGATGTTTCTCTTCAAGTTGCAGCACGGTTGAACTGATGTTTTTTTTAATGAAAGGTTATTTTTGAAGATGTCCACTGTCAATACAAGTGAGAATGAGAATAACATGTATTTGTTTTTCGTCTTAATATCGACAACTGCTGAAAAGAAACATTTTCGCCCCAACAACAAATATAATCATTTTATTTTTTGGCGTATCACCATATTTTCATAGATTAGTATAGTCTTTTTGTTTATCTATTTTATTTACAGTAGACGACGGTTATAACGAACTCGAGGGGACCACTAATTTTAGTTCGTAATAACCGTAGTTCGTTATAAGCATACATACAGGATATATACAACAAATGGTCGGGACTACAAATAAGTTCGTTATATCCGTCAGTTCGTTATAAGCGTGTTCGTTATAAACGTAGTTTACTGTACATACGTTCTGTATTACCTACCGTGCCCAAAACGCTTGGCAAAATATGTATTAAAAGGCTATAACAAAAATGTGTTGGAATTATGTCGGATGTTGACATGAACTGCCGGGCAAAAGAAAGCATACACTTGACAATTGGATTTGACCAAAATATATCAAATGCTGTCACAACGATACAAGACTGAACACAGTCGCCGAAACACTGAGACTTGAGGTCCAAAACTGAACCATGATACCAACGAATAACCATCAACATCGAATAAAGATTTCTTGTTTGTTTCATTTTATATTTTCTTTTGCCCGCCGTTTAGTATAATATTCCAAAAGAAACTGAAAAGAGTTCCGTCTTGCATATCAATTAATGTTGTAATTAAAACAGATAAAAAACATTCGTAACACGTATTCTTAAAAAACGGTCGGAGAATATATTATAAGTGAAGCCGTACTGTTTTCTTTACATTGGATTGTTAGTTGATATGTCAAACACCATACGCTGAAATACATGGTCCTCTTGGTCAAGGGAAATAAAGAACTCCGAATGTACATTGCTCGATTGAATACAAGTAGTTCTCTTTTCACTTTATGGATGTAAGGCTACTTTTGTTCATTGAACTTATCCACTGATCTGTTGTATATTTAAACATTAACAAACCTAACCTTTTACATATGCACTATTATTCCATTATTTTTGTGTAAATTCAATGAAATCCTATGTCATTGATCTTACGTGATACTTAAAGCATATTGAATCTCATTAAACTATTTTCGTTTTATATATTTTATATTATGGCCATGCCAATGGAGTACCAACCTACAACACTGACATATTGTAATTAAATCATAAGAGAGCGAATTTGTAATTCAATATAAGACAATATACGCATTCGACATAAACTGGTATATAAAGCATATTTGGAACTGATGATATCAGAAGTAATTAGTTTTGATGAACGTTGTCTGTCATCAAAGGACGAGTATATACATCGCCAGCAAGAACCTCGAAACAGATAAACGATGCACAAACACAATGTATATAGAACAATAAATCCTGCAACCGAATATGAAAAGAACGAAAACTGACAATTGCTTTTGTATGCACAAATATCGAGGATATGAAATTATTTGTGCGATCGACCACAAGATAAATAAACACCTTGGACAATCTGTCGACTGCATGGAATCGTGTTTCAGCGTTTACCAGGCTCCTTCGTGGTGGGAGGTAGTACACTGGAGGCAAGGCAAACCAGTCTTCATCTCAAGTAGGGATAGGCCAAGGTTCCTGCACAAGTCCTGGAAATAACGCCTTATCATTGTCATGAGCAGGGACTTATAAAGTTCAATCGAAGATAAAAGTGTATTTGTCAAGATTTCATTTATCAGAGTTTCTGTTTGTAATTGTTGTTCATACAAATGCATTAGCTATAGGTTTTCAGCTGATTTTCTCGCGCCGTTCATAAACATGAGAAGATATTCATAAAGTTCAAAAGCAGATAACCAGAGTTATTTATCAAATGTTTGTGTGTCTAATTATTGCTCTTCAAAAATAATACTTGCCTCCTTATTTTCTCCAAATGTATCTGCACTCCTTTTCATTTCCATGACAAGATTAATCTACAGTTATATAGAAGTTGCACAATGTGTAATCGTTACTCATTACAAAGGTAATAACTTTATTGCTTTTATTGTTGTTAAAAGACGTATGGGGAAACAGTTTCTAGCAAATAGTGTTTTGGACTCTAAAAAATGTTTTATCATCTGTTGAGAGATAAGTAAACATTCCTTTACTTTATAGACGTCGTTTCAAATTTCACATTTTTAATTTCATTAGTTTTAGTACCTTCGAATACTACTAACACAGTGGATAGATGATTATCAACTCTAACTTAATTATCTATAAACTGTATAATAGATCAGCAGATATATTATTTTGTTACTTTCTAATAAATATGTTTTCTTCTCTATTCGATTCATGATTACAACAGTTGTTATTTTTCTACCAATCTACGAATTTTAGCAAATCAAATATTACCTGTTAAGACAAATTTCTGCATTGAATATTATCTTTTATTTGTGTAGAACTTGTCGCAGAAAACAAGGAAATATTTGCAACTGGGAAACATATGTCATCCAATCCCGAGGGTGTTTGTGTTGGTGTTTAACGTCAGCAACTGAACACTTCATACGCATGTACGTATATGAATCGCATGTACATGTAGTGAATACATTTAAATGAATGATGCTTTATCGAAATATGGTCCATTATGTCCAATGTATCTATTTCAACGTCAACCACGTCACATTATTAACAATATTAAACAATTTTTACTTATATTATGTAAACCATATGGTTTTCACACAAATCATGAAACCAAACTGCATGTGAGAACATTAATATAATACATGCCTCCCAAAACATCACTAACAAATTTTTAGAAATATTGATACCCTACTGTCATCAACTTTAAGATTTGGTAACGACATTTCGTAATATTCTTTTCTTGAGTTGCATTAATATACCAAAAATATACATGTTAACACAAATGACAGAAATTTATTAATAATAGTAAATCAGAAATATGAGGTCATAGGTATACATACATTGTATATACTCACATATCATTGTATCATTGATAACAAACTGTATAGTTACATTTATGTGAATAAAGACATTGTATGATGATGATGATGATGGTGATGATGATGATGAAGAATCATAATGACAATACAAATGCTGATTTTGTAATACTGACTTTGCCATAGTCAGGCAGGGGGAATAGAGATGCTTGTTACAGAGTTATGAAGTAAGAAAAGGGGGCCTACACCATACCCCTGACAGCCTCCCGTCATCCCGAGGGAGAGGATGAATGTATCGGTGGGCGTTACCCTAGTATAGATGCCAGCCTGAACGCGAGGAGAACGTACATGTGCAGGCTGTCAGATCTACACACGGGGTATACAGTGCGGGAACCGTCCGGGCGATCAAGGCACCAATGGCTGAGACTGGCACCGCTTGACTCCGCCCATTCCTGACTTTGATTTGCTCAGCGCGAGGGGATGTGAGTTTCAGGCCTAATTTCCCTGAAATGATGCGTATAAGAGTTGAGTATGTAATGAGGATCACCCATATCGCTGGTCACCTCGTGTTTATCTGCTAGTTTCACGACTCCAGCAATCTTTATCAAGGTAGATCCTGTCAGTGAAGGTTCGTGTTGTGATACAGTACAGTGTGTAAGGACAAATGCAGCAGTACGGAATGGATTGTGAGATTGATAGGAAACCTATCATGGATAATACAGTTATACCTCAAGTGACAGAGCTTGAGAACATGGAGGACTTCGAGGAGAAGCTGGACATGAAGGTGGACAGTAACGTCTCGGACAGCGGCGAGGAGACGCCGTCGACGACGTCCAACATGCCGGAGTCTCCTTCCTGTCAGAAAAACGCCAAGAAATCGGGGGTAGGGGTGCGGCGATCTGAGAAGCCACCCTACTCTTATATAGCTCTCATTGTCATGGCCATACAGGCAGCACCAACCAAGAGATGTACACTCAGTGAAATATATCAGTTTCTGCAGCAGAGGTTTCCATTCTTCAGGGGTTCATATCAGGGATGGAAGAACTCTGTCAGACACAATTTGTCTCTTAATGAGTGTTTTATCAAACTACCCAAAGGTATTGGACGGCCAGGTAAGGGACACTACTGGACAATTGACCCTGCCGCTGAATTCATGTTCGAGGAGGGATCTTTCAGGAGGCGGCCTAGAGGATTCAGAAGGAAATGCCAGGCTTTGAAACCCTTTGGGATGTTAAATGGGATGGGAGCCGCTCCCTCCATGATTCAATCTCATTATGACTTTTTGCACTCGCAGAACACTGGCATGTCACCCATGAACATGTCGTGCGCGGTCAGCACGTCTCAAGGGTACGTTGACAACAACAACATGATGATGCCAGTCAACAGCATGCAACAACACGTCAACGCTAGCTGCAGCTTCAACAACAGGTATGCTCAGAGCTGTGCCATGGCAGGCGTGACGGGTGTCAATGCTGACTATACCCACCTGACCAATCTTCAGAACACCCCCTCGTCCTCCATACCCCCCTCCATGTACGACAGGGATCACACCATGCAGCAGACAGCGGCACAGTGGCCTACCACCCAGAGATACCTGAAACAACAGCCCCTGTCCCCAACAGGTAGCACGGGGTCCATGCAGAGCATGTCCCCACCATCAAGCAATGACCCCAGCCCCTACGCTGCCATCACGGCCGGGACTGAACCAGTAGACCTGGCCCTAGCAGGTAAGGTGTTTCTTCTATACTGTTTAAACTGTATCATATAAGTAACGTGGAATGTGTATTCATGCAGTTTCCCAACCTGTATTCTCCAAAATGATTATTTTTTGTATTTCTTTCCGATTTAATTATCTAAGTCTTCGTTTATTTCCTTGTTAATGTTTGACGAATCAAACAGGCCATGTGTGAACAGCAATTGTATATTTTGTTCTAAAACACTGAAAGTATCTTGTCACCAATTGTATTATTTGGCATTAACTTGATTTATAAGACTTTGGATATATGCAAAGTGTTATGTTTAAGCTGCAACTGACGGTCAAGAAACATTTAAAGTTACCATTGGGAAGAATATAATACCAAACCATTCTGGGAACAGGGAGATTCGTTGAAACCATTACAGTTTACGACAACAATTTGTCTTTACCGGGAACAAGAACATTTTCCCTGTTTATCAAGATAACTTAAAACAGTTTAAGTGCGGTCGTTTTTTTCCATAATTAGTCATTACCAGTCTGACAAGCTGGTACTCGGTGCATTTGTCGGTAATTGAGAAATTCTCAAAATTTAGCTTCATTAAAAGTCTCTGAGGTTGATAAGACTACCAAGGCGTTCACAGCAGGGGATCAAGGCAGAGGAGGGGGGTGTTATAAGCACGTGTTGTCACGGCAACTGAAATAATACCAGTCACATAACGATTCGGAGATCGTACATGCCTTGGATGGCTACAATCCACAGCAAAGAAAGACAAACTGATTCGGGGCTTTCGCTGTCAGATCTTCTCGGTTTTGTTAGCTCGACTCGTATGTTCCGTATGTACAAGTGTTCCGTATTGTGTGGCGACGTCAGAAAACGTGTTGAAAACCACCCAAAAGAAGCTAGGTTGATACTTGAGAGCGTCTTGGATGGCTATAAAAAGCGTTGTGAACCTGTCAGAGGTCTTCTTGTCGGGATAATATAACCCTTATACTGAAGATATAACAGTTCCGTTTTACCATTATCTCGTATTTCGGACGACTACCAGCTTTATTAACAGCCGATTTTCGTGTTTTAAAGAGTTCCACAGTCCAGAGAATTAATGACTGCTGTGAATTATGGCTCAGTTTGCACCCCACCCTTGATTCCCACATTTCTGAGCGTCGTGCGTTCTTATCTTTCATGCCAGGATTTATCTATCATTACAACCTGGATGGTATCTATCTTTTCCTGTGAGTTTATGTCAGACATTTTCGAACTAGTTTACACGCTGTACTGACTATATTCTTTAACTATTCAGCGATATATGAAGATTATAACTGGTGGGTTATGAAGAAATACAAGTTAATTGTTATCTGTAACATTTTAGAAACACTGTTACATTCATGGTATTTATTGGTGCGGTTATTTCCTCGCTATAAGGGTGTATAATGAATTGGTTTAATTCGTAACGTTGCTTTATATGTATCAAAATACTTTGATGATTGTGTTCTTTTCGCGAACACCTGGTATCATCACTATTTGATAGTTATTCACAAACACATGCTTATGATATAGTCGGACAATGAACTGCATTTAGCCGATATATTTTTAAGATTATAGAAATGGTTTTGTCGCTTTTATTTATAATTATTAACATATAATGATTTAACTCATTCAGCAATAATCCTAATAGTAAACACAGCAAATGTCAACACCATCCTGTCGCAGTGAATTGACAGAATGAACATCAAGCGTACAGAAACTACAAGAAATAATAAATATTGGATAGTCCTGTCCCATTTTTTTATTAACGCAAAAAATAATCCTGAACCATTTACTAACTGTAAGAAATTATATACATTAAAAATATCTGCTGTTATTGTTTCAAACTGATTATCCAGAAATAATCTTCCACGCATTGTATATGTTAAAATAAACCCTGATGTTGTGTTACACGTTTTGTACGTGTTTATGAATTTGTCTTCCCCTAATATGCATCTCAATCCCAGGGGAGCAGAGGTTGAAAAATACCCCATATCTCCCTTGTTCCCCAGACCGTGGTTCTCGTGCAAGAATCCCCCATATGTCTCGGTATATGTTATAGAGGTAAATATTAGTAATAAGAGTGAGAGGTTACATTTCTCTTACATTTCAGACGAACATGGTTTACAAAACTCCTCGGTCGACAGTTTACAAATTAACAGCGGTAGTTTATTTTCATGCGTGAGGCGGACTTTGGCAAAGAAGTGATCATTGTTTAGTATTATCTTCCACGGATCGCCTGCATTTATTGTAAATAGGGGAACAGAAATAAACGACTGAGGTAAAAGCTGTGCGAATCATGTCGGATGTGAGATGTCGTATATACATATGCATAAGGAGCTAGAAAACGTATACATTCTTGGTTATTTAACCATCGCGTGCTTCTTGAAGTAGTGTTAAACAATAATAAACAAGTTTTGCTTGCTTTTTATATCTGTTTTGACTGAATCTCAAGACAAAATTCTTACATTACATTTGAATTATTATGTTTATTCATACGTTTTAAGTATTTATTTTAAAGTTGCATTAATATTACATCAGCCATATTTAATGTCATGGCTATGAAGGTTGTGTAGATATTTATTGGATAGGTATTTGCGATGTTTTATTAATAGACATTTATTGGATAACTGCGTGAATGGGGTTTGAATGTTTGTTTATATTTAAATGCTTTAAAGAAAGCATATCTATATAAAGCAATTCTATCATTTTATACATTTCCGCATTTATACACTTTATGCACTTTATACACTTTTCATTTTCATGACGTGGGAAACATTTACGAGGGGTTTTGCCATCTGAAACAAAAATACAACAGCAGAAGTATTCTGTTCAACTTGTTTCATAATAATGTTGACATGAAAAAAAGCACAGAGCGATTGATCTCAATAACAAACGACGGAGTGGAGAGGAAAAATAAAAGGTATCCCCCGCTCACTGCACGCCCATATTGAATGTCTAAGCGGAGAAAGTAAGACAGAGGTATTTTTACACTGGGAGTCGGTATATCACGTAGCCTGTCGTGTCAAATTAGTTACTGAATCCCTGACACAAACTAGCCCTATTACGAAAACATCCACATTGACGGAGGGAACAGCTTTTCGTGCTTTAAACCTTTGATGACAGGGCTCAATTAGTCACATCATCTGTCTTTTTTAGGGTAAATTCACACAAAAAAGTGTTAAGCAGTAGTTTGTTTAAAAGCGGCATGGGAAGAGGCAGTTTATACGTCAAGTGGCAATAAAACACCGCAAAGCTTTGGTAGAATGCAAATATTTCTACAAGACAACGTGAACATGATTTCTTTTACCAGTGTAGAGTAGAGAGTGAAATGAGCCAGAATATTATAGTCATGCTGACGCTTGTTCTGATATTTATATATTTACGATTCATGTATTCATGTTATTGATACTTGATAATTTAGTATATGAAGAAGAAGATTTGTTGTACATAAACACCCACAGGGGGCAGGGTACAAAACACGAACATGACTAGTTAAAAACATTGACATACACATTAGAATACAAATATTGCTATGATTATATTGCTAGAGAGAAGATGCAGATTTTCTTTTCCTGAACAGTTTATGACTATTCTTTTTCAAAATATGAGTACCATCCAATGTAGATTTGGATGTGCACAAATGATATGATAATGTCTTGACGGAGATCCATCTTCGTGTAACCAGGAGTATTTTTCTATCCTTGTTCGAGGATAGTAGTTGGTATCCCTTTATAAAAATGAAAATATAAATATATTTTAGGCTAGGGGACAAACATTAATTTATTTCCAACTTTCAGTCAAAATAAGGTAAGATAAGAGAGGAGAGAAACTTGCTGAATTACTTAGACAAAACCGATAACAAATAATAATAATAATTTTTGATACAGCAAGGAAACCTGGCATATGTTTGTGGTCCAACAAATTGAAAGAGGTTGAAGATTTGTAATCATAGTATTGTTCGTGTGTCAGTTTGTACGTTATTAGAATATCATTATCTCAAAGCTTTTAAAAACTTTAACCTGTATCCTTCATCAAAATGTCACACTTTCTTATCATCTTTTGACACTGAACAAATTAAAACGATTGGCGATAATGGGCAAAGATAAGATTAAGTCAAATTTGCCAGTAATAAACACCTCGTTTGTTAATAGACCAGAGCCTCCAACAACAAGGGCACATTTAGACTTGCACGATAACAAGAACTTGTAATCGGAGATGATATGGTCAGTTAGCACTGTCCATCTCTCATCGCCTCCTGACAGTAGGACCTTTATCTACATACTAAGTGTTTTCCCTGACCAGCAGGTGTCCGGTGGCGCCCCACGGCGGCCACATTAGGTTATGTAACTCTTGTTGCTTCAGATTGTGCATACCGCTAATGGCGCCTGTAGTAACATGCCTTCTGACTCAGCAAATCGGGTTTCTGTTGCTTGGATAAATTAAAACTTAATTACTCTGGATTTTTGTCATACGCTGCGAAAGTGATAGGTAACGTCATGGGGAGACGTTGTTCTTAGAAATATTTTCACAACTGGGGTGTGAACAGTCATTTACATAACCCACCTTAATGTAAGTTGTGTTGGTTCATTGTTCTTTGTTCATGGAAAGCAATTTGTAAACAAACACTTGAAGACAAAGGTTCTGAGAAATTAAATTCATCTTGAATTTGTGAACTTTTCCAGACACACTGTACATATATGGACATACTTATATCGTAAAAGTTGCTTCTTTGTAGTCTGCACATTTCTTGATTAAAATTCACAATTTATTTATATTGAAGTCAAGGTTATCAATTGTTGAACTATTATTTTTAATAAACACGTATCCATATCGGGTCATTAATTATTTAAATTTTAAAAATAGTCATTATTTATGAATTTGTTAAAGTGAAGTGACCAAAGGAGGAAATGCTGCGGAAAAGATAAAATATAATAATGTTCACTGCGAGCTTTTCACAAAGAATTTATGGAACACAAACATTATACATTAGTCTGAATGCATTTAGA